ATACTACCGAACGGCTCGTGCACTTGTGAGTATCACAAGTTGAGGATGCAGCTTAATCCATTTTGGTGCAGCTGAAATCCACACAACAGTCTGCTCGCACTATATCAGAACCTCTCTCAATTATTTATTTATTATTTTTTCAATAACCCTCTCGACTCTCATTCCGTATCTCTCTCTCACCTACTCACGAAACCCTACACTATTTCTCTCCCGATATGAGACTAACCCTCACCTCATCGGTCGCCGTCTCTATCGCGCGCGCTCTCTGTCGCGAGACTCATTCTCTCTCTCCAAACCTAACCTCGCAATCCTTAATCTCTACTATAATCGATTGACAGCTTCCTCTCGTTCTCACTCGCTTCCATCCTTACCAAATCAAAGACGACGACGGCTACAGTTCTCGATTTACACCCGTTTCTTGTCTCACTCACCCCCTATATCTCTCTGTCTGTTTCTCTCTCGATCTCACCTTCTCTGTCGACTCGACCTCAGCTGCTCACCAAATCGACGACAACGGCTACGGCGTCGTCTTCGTCGTCTCTAGCCTCTAATTCAATTGATTTTAAAAGGTGAACATACTAATTTTTAAGGTTTTATGAAATTCTGGTATTTTGTTGGTTTAGTGGATTATTAGGGTTTCTTAATTCTGTTGAAATTAATGCACTTTTTTCTTAATTTTGCAGGTTATTCTCAGCGGGTTTCGATTAATAAGCAAAAATACAGGTTATTCTCAAACTCTATGTGTTGGTTGCTTCAAGCTTTGGTTTTAAAGTTTAAACTTCCAAGGCTAGGATCTGATAATATGATATGAATGATAACTTTTAATTGAATTACAACAAATGTGATGATGTTAATTCCCAAAATGGAGTTTGGCAAATATTTGTCTTTTCGGGAAACTGCAATGTGATTTGGGTTTTGGTTATATTTGTTTTGTTTTAGTTAACTGGTATTATTTTTTTTTTGGTTAAATGCTATTTGTTTTGTTTTGGTTAAATGTTATTTGTTTTGTTTTGGTTAAGTGTGTATGTGAAGATTAGAATATGTTTTAAGTGTCTTGAATCTATTTTTTTTTGCAACTCCCTTAACCGATACAAGTGAATCTGTTTTGATCAAGGTCTAAAATATCGGTGATATCGGAAATATCGGTCAGCCAAAAACACGGAAATTTCGATAGAAATATCGGAATATTATCGATATCGATAAAAATTGAATAAAAACCACAAAAATTGTAAGAAAAACTTAGAAATTTTTATTGAAACTTTGCAAGATGTTTATTTAGTCAATTATCTATTAGTTTATCATAAAAAAAAAATTGGAAGGAAATGCATTGCATGATGGATTTAACTGATTTAAGTTGATTATATAGCGAGCTGGCAAACACAACGAGTGTAGAAAATATGTAGTAATTAATGAAAAAAGATTAAACACACCATAATCATTTATATATAATGAATTACTACAATATTTTACACTTTATACATTGCATGGTCAAAAGGAATGGTCAAAAGAATTCAAAACAATTTGTTTCTTGCAAAAAAAATTCAAAACAAAACCATGTATATATATATATATAAATAATTTAGCACATTTTCACAAAAACATAAGTGATATGGTGGTTAAGGTGTTGAAGGGGTAAAATGGGAGGGGTTTGAATCCCCTTGTTGTCTTTTTTAATATAGAAATTTATCCTATATAATAAATATTAGTTTACAGATATTTTAAAGACGTTATAAATATTACACGCCGAAAATATAATCACAAACACGTACGCAGCTGAGTTGGATAAGGCGCTGGGTTGTTTCTCATAGAGGCAAGGGTTTGAATCCCTCCATGCGCAACAAGGAGAATTTTCAGCATTTTTCATGTATTTTTGGGTCAAAATATCGCGAGATTATTGATATTATCGATATTCTTTCATCTATTTTTGATTCCCACTATGTGTATTTTTTATATTTATTAATCAAACTAGCCTCTCTGCACGCGCTTCCGCGCTTGCGATAGGCTTTTTTTTAAAAAAATTAAATTTATTTTAGAATTAAAAAAATAATGGGTAGTTGTGTTCCTTAAAAATAGGATCCATTATCTAATTTTTCTTTTTTTTTTAATTTTTTTAAATATGAAAATGTATGAATTTACCATATTATCCTCATTTAATTAATAATTTCAATTCTTAATATTTGCATTAACCAAGGACATTTTCTGGTATTTTGAATGTTTCACCATTCTCTGCCTTTTGCTTTATATATATATAGATTAGTTTGTACTGTGGAATTTAGTAGGTAAGTTCTGCCCATTCGGCTTTCAAATCTTGAATGCGCCATTCATGGACTACTTCTCATAACTTGTAAGTCAACAAATAGTTTCGAACTTGGCTCCTTTGTATAAAAGAAAAAGAACATATCGTAATAAGCAGTAGTGCTTCGTATATACCTCCCCCTTCCTTTTGACGTCTACTAAACCAAAAAAGTTTATTATTCAACGCCTGAAGAGAACCTATGAAGACGAGGTTTTAGTAATTTACTAAGCTCATAAATCAATATTTACAAACAAAAAAATCAAGAGAGAAGGCTGATTTGGACCATTTGCTGCAAATGTAACAATAATAATAGTATAATACAGTAAAGGCCAAAAAAGAAATATAAGACTTAGATGACAAGGACGAGAATACCCCTAAATGAGGTGAAAGGCTGAGATCTAAACTTCTGAATCCAACGGCCAGCATCTTTGAGCCATTCGTTTATATTCACCCTTAATTATAAACCCTAAATCCCCTCTCACCTTCCATAGTCGCGCACACTCTCTCTCTCTCTAGGGTCTCTTCCGCGGTCGCCGTTTGCATTTTACGATCTTCTTTATCAATAAAGATGGTAAGCCCAACAGACCTTCCTTTCTTCTTATCTGTAATTCTTCCTTCCCTTCTTCTGATCTGTAATTCTCTCGATAATTAGCGTAGATATTTTGACCCAAAAATACATGAAATTAAAACTTTTTTGATGAGTTTGTCTACGTTTTGACCCAAAATATCTACCCAAAAACGCTGAGTTTCTCTCGATAAATACTTTAGGTCAAAACGCTGAGTTGAAATTAAAACTTTTTCATGATATTTGTCTTGATTGAGTGTCTTTGAAATTTGAAATTGATAGGAACCTGCTTCTAATGAGAGTACGGATGAAGACGATCATGATGAGAATGTGGCTGAAGATGATCATGATGGGGATGTGAGCGGAGGTGACAACAACGACGAGGACGATGACGATGACGAGGACGATGATGACGATGACGATGACGAGGATGAGGACGATGATGATGATGAGGAGGATGAGGTAGTATGATTTTCTAATTATTGAGTAAATGTTGTAGTTTACTGTTGTCAAATTTCATTAGATAATTAGATCGGGAAGATATGGGATGGGACCTAACAATGTATACTTGAGATTGCTTTAGAAACAGAGGGAAAAAAAAAGTATGGGTGTTTGATCGGATTGGTATGAATCAGTTGATGATACATGTCATGGAACTTATAGAAGCTTCAGCAGCTGGTTTTGATTGAATTTCTTGGTTGAAAAGGTGATAGCTTGTGCTTATACTACACATTGGTGTCTTTATAATATAGGTGATAGTTCGTGAGGTTGTAAAGATAGTTCCTATATCTAATATACCTCTTAGGTTATGGTTGTAAATATAGTTTATGTAAATCATGTGTCATAATTTTCTAATTATTGAGTAAATGTTGTAGTTTATTATAGGCCTAGCCCTAATTTGTTATTATAGATTTACAATTTCTTAATTACAATTGATAATAAAAATCCTTTCACAGGATGAGAAAGGTCGCAAGATGGTTAGTGTGTTTAGAGTGACAATTGACAAGATTGAACACTATAGAACTGAAGTGAACATGTTGGACGTGCTTTCTTTTGAGCAATTGGCGAAAGTTGTCTGCCCCTTGCTCGGCAACCTTGCTGACTATGCCCTGCCGGATGCCCACGATTTTATATTCACCGATGGGTCGCGTAATGTCCTATCTGCTGATGAGGCAACTAAGATGCCGTGGGAGGAGTTGGTTGAGTATACATCAAGGATCTACGTTTTTGATGAGTTTGACGTAAGTATTTTCTTTTATTTGTAAATTATGTGTAGTTTAGTAGTAAATAGTTTTAATTTCGAATCATGATAACCTGTGATTTTCTTATAAAAATTGTTTGAAAATTGTTCCCTAGGATGAACTTCAAGTGGCTAGACTGACACCCGACAACAACGAACACCCGATGAAAACTATAAATATGGTGAAATTTACGCATATTGCTGAGATGGAGCATGATATTCTGAAGATGGTGAGAGAGCACCCATTGACTTCCTATAAACAACCAGATGGTTACTTGTGCCTGTACAGCAAGACGGGCATGACTGCTGGCTCCTTGACAAGGGGGATGTTGATTGAGAGGCCCTGGCAATGGGTTGTTCAGAATATAAAGAAGGTGTTCGCAGTTGATCAATTAACCTCTTCTGGTTCTTGCTGAGGATGATTCATGCAGCCTAGGATGATTAATAGGTAGGATTCATTTGTCAATATCCTTACCCTTTTGGAGCAACTTCTCAGTCAGAAAGATAGTCGTGCCCACACAAACAAACAAAAAATGTCCATTAGGGGTTGTCGGTGATTCCAATGAAAGGAATGCCTGCCCAGTGAGTGGTATACGTACTCTTTTGAATTTGATTACATGTAAATCTTTGGGCCTAGTTTTGGAAAGGCCATTAGTGTGAAAAAGGAACTTTTTGAGCTCAAAGTAATGAAAAAGAGGATCTTGTGGTGGCTTGAAAATTAAGTTGAATTAATTGGAAGTTATTATCAACTAACATATTTGAAATTTCTCTGGGGCCTTTTGGGGAAATGGAGGTGATAGAAAAACAGTACAGGTTCGGAGAAACACTCGGCAAATACTAATGTGGTACAGTTTTTGGTAGAAATTGTGGCTGATAACCAATAACAACATTATACTTCAAGAAATGAGACAGGAAATATCAAACACACCCTAAAGTTCGGACAAAAGAAAACACACACCTAGAGCTAGCTTGCATCAAAAAAAGAAAAAAGAAAAAAAAAGAGAGATAAATTAGATTCTATGGTTTTAATGTATTTCAATAGTCTCTAGTTTTATTTTAGTTTGCAATAAAAGCTAAAAAACCGAAGTTGAGAGACTATAAGAGCCATTTTTCAAGTTTTAGAACAAAATGCAAATTGGGAGTAGAGGAGTTATAGAGTAGGTTGGTATCACAACTGATATGGTAGTACAGACCAATAGTATATTTACACATTGACAAAAAATGAAGACATTAAACTTAAAGGCATTATTAGCGTAACGTGGTCGGTAACAACGGTTGTGGTTAGAAGTCGTCTTCTTCAACATTCTGCTAGAAATCAAGCCTCATTCAAACATTTCAATGTTGATGAAATTGGTGAACTCGAATATCTTTTTTGTATGGTGATTGTTCTTTGATTTCTCAATTGAGTTTTTTGTCACAGAACTTGAATTTATCTATTATAAATGTGATTGTGTTGAGGCCCCAAATGTCAAGAGAAACTCAAAGGCATTTAAATCCCAATATAACGTGCAATATGTGCCACGTGCTAATCCCCGTTATATTTTGGGAATTAATTCAATAAATAAATATACATGTACTTTCATACGAGTTCAAATAGTGTACATGCTATGCCAAACATCAAATAAAACCATGCAAGCTAATCCATTTCCTTATGCGAAACCACCGGACACGCTTAAATGGGCCCAAGCTATATATATACCTCAAAGTTTGGCTTCAGCTGCCTCCACTATCTCCGCTAAATTCAATGCAAGACACAAATTTGCAGTTTTCCATAATCTTGAAAAATTACATCAACTACTATAGTAGTTAAGAGCATCCACAATGAGCTCCTTAAACCACCTAACCCACCTAACCAACCTCCAACCATGATCCCTATCTAGCTCTTAAAATAGGAAAACCTTTAGGAGCTCCTAAATCTGAGGAGAAAGAAAGTATACATAGTGACTCCCTATAATTAAATACTTCTATTTTTAATATTATTTTAAAATTTTATTTAATGCCAACTATTTTTTATTATTGCTTTTGTGTCTGCACTTTATTCAAAAATTGAATTAAAATTTATTAAAAACATTTATGACTCTTTAAATTAGATAGTATGGTTGGAGTTGAAATTTTATAAAGAGCTCCTAAAATAGCTTTCTAATGTTTTTAACTAAATTTTAACTAATGGAAGAAGTTATAAGTTACTTGCCATTCGGTACTCGTGTATAGAAGAACCGTCAATTGGTTAGATTCACAAAGAGAGAAGTGCGCTTCGAAAACTGCTGATTGCCAGCAAGTAAAAAGAGGCATCAGAAATGTCTTGTTTTTCCACTGGGAAAAGGAGGGCCCGCTTCAAGCTGTTAAAAGAGAGCGTCCAAGGAAAAATATCTAATTTGCACCCACATGGGCGAAGTCTTAGCCAGGAGTTTCCATCACAAACCTCTTTTGACATTTTCGTATTTTACATTCAGTTCGGATAATCAAAAACTAAACTCAAGTAAAGTCCCTTGCGATCAGATCATTAACTCAGAGCTCCAAGAGAGCATTCTTGCTCTTCATTGCAATTTGCATTCATAGACACTCCCTTCTTCACTGTAGGTAATGTGAAGATATCCATCTTCATCCTTGTTTTCCTTGTCGATTTCGACCATCAAGGCACCTGCAACATTGGATCAAGGAATTATCACGAACCACAACAAGAATGAGTAAAACTAAAATGATCGAGTAGCAACTCACCAGCGGGAGGTTCAGTGTTCTTGAAAAGACATATATAGGCTTTTCTCTGCTGACCCCGATAGTAAATCGAATATAATCAACAAATTCTCCAAGAGGCATATCACCGTACACAATGAATCTGTAATAAAAAAAACATGCAGTGTATTTAAGACAGCCTATGAATACAAATGAACTTGGCGTTTGCCTTTCTTTACAGAAGTAGGTAGGTTTTCCTTTGTATAGTAAAAATACAAATCAAGACAATTAAAGCACAAGAGAATTCGAAACTAACTTCTTTGAGCCAATTTCAGGAAGGTCACTCCTGGCATCTTTCTCCACAGCCAACTGCAGGAAAAGCTCAAATTAGAACAGAGTATACCCCAATGAATGCATAGAATGTAAACATATTTGCCGCAGAGAAATTCTTACTGGTATACAACTTGGACGCCTCTCCCTCCAATACCAAGCATCTAAATTAGGAGGGCAGCCTTTGTAGCCATTCCTCTTCCGAGCTTCTAAATCAGTAACGGGCCTTGTAACAGTATACCCTAGTCCTTTTATTACAAAAACATCAGTAGAAAAGAGATGAGAAGAAAACTTAGGCAAAACCTAATCACCAATTCCCGAAATAAATCACTACCCTGGAAAAACTCCAACAAGAAAAGAAAAAAAAAAGGGAAAATAAATACCTGGAGGACCTTTTTTCTTGTAACGGCTTTCGGCAATGGTGAAACGCATGCCACAACTGTTCTCTGCCAATTTTCCAACAAGGAAACATCATCATACGAAATTTGTTACCCAGAAATTAATCACCACATCAAACAGAAGGCTGGTGAGAAAAAGGTTGTGGGTTGAAGTATTTGACGAAAACATAACACACCAAACCAGAAAAGGGATCTATTCGATTAGGTTTTTGGTAATAGAAGAATTGATTGGTTGAGAACTGACAGAAGGTCAAAATCAATGAAAGGGGGAGAGAATTACAGAAAGCAGAGAATCACAAGTACAAATTCAGGAACAGACCTGCTGGCGTTGTATCCGATTCTACGTTTCCAACACGAATCAGTCTACATTACATACATTTCAACCTTGTCCATTTATATATCTGTTTCAGTTGGCGAGCTGCAAACTATTTGTGTGTCCACTTCACACAAGTAATTTTTTTTCCTTTTTTACAAGCAGCAATATTGATGGAAAATGAAATAAAAAAGCATGACCTCGGCAAAGATACCCATTTAGCACCCAAAAAAAAAATCGAATCTTTGGTTATACTGTATAAGTTTTACAAGACTTTGGTGGAATTAAAAAGTTCAGGTGTATTAAATGTTCACAAATATAAAATTCTTAAACACAATGTGGTCTCCAATTATGACTCTTATAGAAACTTGATGGACTTTTTTGAGAATTTTATAGTTATCTGGAAGCCAATTATAATTGTTTTTGTTTACAAACAAAATCTTAAAAGTTCCTAGCACCAAACTCTAACACACTTTTTTTGTTTGAAAAGGATAAATTTTGTGTCATTAAAAACCATACAAAATAGTGGACAAGTAATCCACCAATAACAGGAAGAAAAAGGAAAACGAGCACAGAGATCTACAATTATGAGAAGAAACCAATCCTAAGCAAGACACTGCAGCCTTCAACAGCAAACTGTTTGAAAGAGACATGTTCCTAAAAATATAGACTTTTTTCTGCTGAGCCCGACCGTGATCCGAATAAAATCAACAAAATTCTCGAATAGGCATATCACCATAGACCAGAAATCTGCAGTCAGAAAAACAGGATTGACAATAAAACTATCTGAGAACCCCTTCATTTAAGATAAGCTACGAACAGCAATGAACTTCGAGTTTTCCTATGTAGTATTAAGTATGTTTTCCTCTTCCATATACTAACATGGAATATAAGATTACTGGATTGGCAGACTTCGCCACTTGGGTAACCAATTCATGCAAACCATTATAATAAAGACCATTCGTAACCAACCCTAGAACTTCACCTAATGTACTGAAATGTTTTCTCCCACAACTTTTTTTTCTTTTGTTAAAATGAAACTGTGTAGGAACGATACACATGACTAGATCCTATTTGTGTGCATATATATTGCACGTGCACATTAAAATGCACAACTGATGCAACGAAAACATAACAAGCTATGAACACAAATGAACTTAGAGTTTGCCTTTCTTTGTAGTAATAAGTAGGTTGTCCTCTTTGTATAAATCTTATATCCAGTTATGGAATATGAAAATTACTTGGCAGGAAGCCTTTGCCACGTAGTTAATCAATTCATTCAAACCTTCACCATCAGGACCATTCCCTTACCACTCCTACAACTTCACCTAATGCAGTGAAAAGTTTTCCCCACACAATATATATAAATATATATTGGAAAAGTGCAACTCTAAATGAACACATCATGAGTCATGACTAGATCCTATCGATGCGCTATAGATTGCATGTACGCATTAAAATTAAAATTCACAACTCACAATATAAACCTAACAATTATTGGGTCATGCTTTCAATTTTTTTTTTTCTTTTCTCCTTTCCCTTTATTTTTTCCTGACCAATTTCAAAACATATATCAAAAGCATAAATGAAATGAGAACAATTCTATTTGAATGTACAAACACAAATCAACATAATTAAAGCACAAGGGAATTCGAAACTAACTTCTCCCCGTCCATGTCAGGAATGTCACTACTTGCATCCTTCTTCAAAATCACCTGAATGAAAGCTCAAATTAGAATAGAGGATATCTACTGAATGCATAGGAAGTAAACATATTTGATGCAGTGAAATTCTTACTGGTATGCGATTTGGGTGTGTCTCCCTCAAATAACGAGCATCTAAACAAGGACTATGGTCTTTGTGGCCATTCATTTGATTCCTTATTATCCTGTATCAAAAGCGTAAATGAAAAAAAGAAAAGAAAAGAAAAGAAAAAAAGGAATCCCATTCCAGTAAAATCAAGATAAGCAAAGCACAAGTGAATCAAAAACTAACCTCCTCCTGGGGATACCAC